CTATTAAATCATGGAAGTAAAAGCATGACTACACAGGTGGCATTGGTGAGAGGGCTTTGGTGTCTTCAACAATGAGCTAATGTTCCAGGAAAGAGGATTACTGTGCTGGGATGGGATCCATCTATCAAATACTGGGAAGGGCATCTTTGGACATCGTCTGGCTAACCTGATAAGAAGAGCTATAAACTAGGTCTTATGGAGGATGGTGACAAAAATCCGTCCAATGTGTATCTAGGCTCAAGTAATGAAGTCAAGGGGAAGGGGCTAAATTCTGGAAAAGGGACTAGGAACCACAACTGCATTAAAGAGGCAAGAAGAAAAACAACAAGACAGTAAAATAGTCTTGGTATATGAAGACAATTATGACTTAATTTGACTACTTCCATGACTGAAGTACCAGCACTGAGGGATATAGTTTGTTCCAGAAGGATAAGTATGGGGAAAAAGGAGGAGGCATCATGCTGTATGTCAAGAATGTATACACTTGCTCTCAGGTCCAAGAGGAAGTGAGTGGCAGACCTACTGAGAGTTTAGGGTGAGGATAAAAAGAGAAAATAGTAGTAGCGATGTTATGGTGGAGGTCTATTATAGACCACCAAATCAAGAAAAGGAAGTGAATGGGGCATTCACAAGCAGGTAACAAGATTAGCTAACACACATAAGCTAGTATTAATGGGGAAATTTAACTTCTCCGATATCTGTTGGAAGACTATTACAGCAAAGCATAATTTGTGCTGCAAGTTCTCAGCTTGTGTAGGGGACAATTTTCTGATTCAGAAAGTTGAGGAAACAACAGGGGGTCATCCATTTTGGATCTGGTGTTGACCAACAGGGATAAATTAATGCAAATGTGAAGGTGGTCAGGAACTTGGGAGGAAGTGATCATGATCTGATGGAATTCAAGATCCTATGGAAAAGAGGACATGAAACAGCAGAACAAGGACACTGGACTTCAGAAAGGCGGATTTCAACCAACTCAGAGAAATAGTAGGCATGGAAAGACCAATTAGGAAGAAAAGGAGTCGAAGGGGGCTGGCAGTTCCTAAAAGATGTAATATTAGAGGCTCAACATCAAGCTATTCCTATGCAGAGGAAAGATAAGAGCCACAGGAGGCCAATGTGGCTGCAAAAGTAGCTTTTTAGCTATCTAAAAACCTAAAGGGATACATACAGGAAATGGAAGGAGGGGCATGTCACCAAGGAAGTATACATGGGAATAGCACAAGCATGTTGGGACAAAATCCGGAAAGCCAAGACAAAGAATGAGTTACAGCTGGCAAGAAATGTTAGACACAACAAGAAGGGGTTCTACAAATATGTCAGACAAAAACGAAAGATCATTGATGGTGTTGGCCTGCTGCTCAATGGAGGAGATGAGCTGGTAACAGAAGATGATAGGACGGCAGAGCTGCTCAATGCCTACTTTGCTTCAGTCTTCTCACAAGAAATAATACGTCACTAGCAAAGTTACCATAGGCAATAAAGAGGAAGGGATGCAGATCAGGATAAGTAAAACAACAAATCAGAGATTGTCTGACTAATTTGAACAAATTCAAGTCAACAGGGCCTGATGCTATTCACCCCAGAGTGCTGAAGGAATTAGCTGAAGAAATCTCAGAGCCACCAGCAATAATATTTGCAAACTCATGTATGATAGGAAAAGTCCTGGAAGGAGAAGGGCTAATGGAGTGCCCGTCTTTAAAAGGGGGGGAAAGGAGGAGTTGGGGAAGTAAAGACCAGTCAGCCTGACCTCAATACCTGGGAAGCTATTAGAGCAATGTATAAAACATTCAATTTGGGAATATCTGGAGGATGAAGAAAGGGTAATCATTAGCAGCCAGCATGGATTTACAAATCATGCCAAACCAGCTTGATTTCCATCTTTGACAGAGTAACTGGTTGGTGGAGGGGGGGAATGCAGTGGACCTAATATACTTGGACTTTAGCAAGGCTTTTGACACACTCTCACATGACATTCTGATAAGTAAGCTGGAGAAATGCAGGCTCTGTGGAACTACCATTACATGGATACATAATTGGTTAAACAACCACAAACAAATAACTATCAGTGGAATGGTATCAGATTGGAGGGAGGTCTCAAGTGGGGTTGCACAGGGATCTGTTTTGGGTCTGGTGTTATTTAACATCTTTATTAATGACCTGGATGTAGGAATAGAGAGCATACTGATCAAATTTGCAAATGACACAAAGCTCAGGGGAGCAGGGGGAGGAGGTTGCAAACACTTTGGAGGATAGAGCTAAAATTCAAAGGGATCTTGATAAATTGGAGAGCTGGGCTATAGACAATAAAATGAAATTCAATAAAGATAAATGTAAGGTGCTACACTTAGGGGGAAAAAAACCAAATGCACAAATACAGAATGGGGGATAACTGGCTTGGCAGCAGCATTGCTGAGAAGGATCTGGGAGTTGTGGTGGATCAGAACCTCAACAAGAGTCAACGGTGCGATGCTGTTGCAAAAAAAAAAAAAAAAAAAAAAAGAAA